CAGCTGAGCATTTGCAGGAATTCCTGAAGTGTGGAGCAGAGCATCAGATTGGCTTTGGAAAGAACATCTGTTACGAAAGTAAGGAAGCATAGTCTATGGGAGTTTAGTGGGAACTGCAGAAAACTAGAATTGGGTTTACCATAATAAAGGTAGTGTTTGAGAGATGTGTGATTTGAAGTTGAGGGAAAAAAAAAAAAAAGACAACTAAGAAAATGGGAGTACAGGGAACATCATAGTATTTTGTGTTCTTAAAAGGAACTCATAGGAAAAATATTGAGAAATATGATAAGCTATCCTAATGGCTGTTTTTAGCAACTTGAAGAAATTAATAGGTAGTTTAATTACATTATTTTCAGGTGAAAAAATTTAGAGAGGAAACATAAAAATTAACAAGTTTTTTTTAGCAGCTGGAATTATTTACTTAGGTGTTTTATTTCCTGTGAAGGACCTTCTGTTCTGCTGTAATTAAAGGAGTCCTTATGATTCCACCTACCAAAACCAAGGAGAGAGTCAGTTTGCATAGATACACAAGTAGTAGTTAGCATATGTTCTTTCAGACTAGAGATTTCTACAGTGAAGTATTAGTTGTGAAACTATAGTTGAAAGGGAGAATCCAGGGAGCACCCTCCAAGAAAGACGGGGATGACATAGTTCAGGAAATGCAGAATTCGGAAACAAAATTACTTGTTACTACTATATTTTCACAACTATGATATGTATTTTGGTTTTTCTGAATTTCTTTAAAATTACTGTTCTATAAAAGATTGCCTTCGGATAACCTTCTATTTTATCTGTATTGCAGTTTGTTCCGGGGAATATGGTGTATCTTATTTGCAGTTTTTGTAGAACTGGGATTGAAAGAGAGATTGAAGATTGTGTAGTCTGACTGCTGTGCTCAAAGTGGGTTCGACTAGAGAGCATTACTCAGGGCTGTGTCCAGTGTGGTTTAGAGTATCTCCAAGTCTGGTGATCCTGCAACATCTGTGGGCAATTTGTTCATTGTTTCACCACTGTCACCGTATGTTAAAACGGAATTTCCTATGTTTCAATGCATACCCATTGCCTCTTGTCTTTTCACCGAGTATCACTGGCTCCATCTTCAAACCCTTTTGTCAGGTGTTTACACACATTGACAGGATCTCTCCTGAGCTGCCTTTTCTCCAGGCTGAGCAGTCCCAGCTCTCCCAGCCTCTCTTGTCAGATGGCCCAAGCCCTTAATCATCTTCATGGCCTTTTGCTGGACCTGCTCCAGTGCATCCATGTCATGCTTTTACTGGGGAGCCCAGAACTGGACCCAGCATTCCAGGTGTGACCTCACCAGTACTGATGAAGGGGAAGGGCCACCTCCCTCACATGAGCTTCTGGCAGTGCTCTTGCTTACACAGCCCAGGATGCTGTTGGCCTTCAAGGGCTTGTTGTTGTTTCATGTTCAACCTGTTGTCCACCAGGACCCCCAGACCCTTGTCTGCAAAGCTGCTTTCTAACTGGTCAGTCCCCAGCCTGAACTGTTGCGTGGGGTTATTCCTTCACAGATACAAGACCTTGCATCAAAGTGTATCTTCCAGTTTTCTGCAACATTTAGGTTGGGAGTTCTATCTTCTGCTTTCAAAAACAAAATTTTCAAATATATCTCAAAGATGTGCTTTGATTTTATTGTATTATATCTGTCAAGGTTTTATACCTTTTCCTAAGCATGCACTCCTTACAGATAGGATATTGAGCTGGGTGGTCTGATCCAATTCTTACGTTCTTAATTGCATTTGGAACAAACAAAAAAGAAAAATTCCACAGCCATATTCAAACACACTCACAAATAAACATAGTATAAAATGTGATTTATTTAGTTTCAAACTTTAGTCTATCCATTTATGACTTTGGAATGTAAAGCAATGGAATATTATCTTTAACCAAATATCTGTACTTCAGTGTGATGGCATTTTTAAATGGATTTTTCCATGTAGATGAAAATTTCATTTGAATGCCCCAGCAGAAGCTGGTCATGTTAGATCTTGTATATTTTGTCATTTATCCTACTGATGTCCCTTCTACCTAATTTTATTTGCTTATGTGGTTTTTTTATTTTTTTGCTCTGCCTTGTGTACTGGAGGAGATGTTATATAAGCATTCTCAGCCATCAGTGTTCTCCCAAGTGGCTTTTAACTGCTGGAAACAAGTTCTTTGCCATATAAAGGGATCTCACTTAGCAGAAGAAATGGTCCGTCTTCATAATGGTTTCAGTGCTTGTTTTTGTGGATTTTTCTTCTATATAATAACAAAAAAAATTATAGTTGCATTGTCATTTCTCTTTCTGTGGTTTAGAAAAGTACTGACAACAAATCAATGTCAGGAAATAGTTAATGTAAAATAATTAAAACTCGAAGAGGACTGGAGCTGAACAGATCAAGTTATATTAAAAAAGCAACGGGGCGGGGAGGAAAACGACAAAACATCAACTTGACTATGTAATCCTTGGCCACAATTGTGTGAATTTGCAGATGTTAAATTACCCAGAGAATGGCTTACAAATTTTTGCTGTTGTCAGTAGAAGCATATTGGACCTCACATGGAACAAAACAAGCATTGACTGACAGACTACAAATTTCAAACATTGTGTATTCTCTAGTTCATATCAAGTCTTATGTGAATGCAAAATATAATGGTGATCAGACTTAATTTTTGTTAAGTTTTATGACTGTGATAGAAAATAAAAATAGCAACAAGAATGTTTAGTCGCATTATTTTCTGTGAAGAGGAAGCCTGAATGAAATAATTCTGTTGCTGTGTTAGGGTGACTAGATTAGTT